GCCTGCAACATGTTTTTGGTGGCCCAGGACACTGCAGAGGGCTGAGGAGGGTGAGCAGTGACCTGTGACTCAGAAAAGCAGATGCCACCCACAGGTCACAGTAGGGACCCCAAAAGACCACAGGGAGCCCATGTGGGGGGGCACCAGTGCTATCACAGGCAGCCCGAGCAGCAGGGCCAATGCAACCAGCGACTGTCACCCCATGCCTGTGCCGGGAAGGTGACTGCCTACACTGCTGCCCAGAGAGCCAAGCTGCAGGCTAGAGGCAGGTGCACGGGGTGGGATACAGGACTGTTCACAGGGCCCCAGGCGGACCCTCCCAGCTGGGAATGACCAGCCAGCCCTATAGTTTATATTTTACAACCGGTGAAGTTTATACAACTGCACCATGATGGACTCCAAAATAAAACAGCACTACAGAGCCCTGGCTTTCAAAACTTGCCCAGGGAAATAAACCTCAACTTGCAGGGCGTGGTGGCCTAAGCCAGTAACCCTAGCACTGTAAGAGGCTGAGACAGGAGGATTCCAAGTTCCAGCCCACGGTGGACAACTTAGTGACTGGCAAGACCTCGTCTCAAAATAAAAAATAAGGGCCAGGGAGATAGTTCAATAGAATAAGCACTTGCCTGGCAAGGGCAGGGTCCTGAGTTCAATCCATCCCCGATACCGCAAAAAATAAATAAATAAATAAATAATGGGCTGGGGATGTAGCTCAGTGAGAATGCTCCCCTGGCCCACAAAATAAAACAACAAAACCCTAGTCCTCTCCCCATTCCCCATGGCCATAGGATACAGACAAAGCTCCCATGCTTACTTTTTTTTTTTTCAAACAAACAACAGCAAAGACCAAGCATGGAATACGAATTGGGGGACAGGGCCATGGGCAAGAAAAGCTGAGCATAGCCCCAGCTGGTACCTTCTCGGCCTTGGCCATCAGCCCCATCACCATCTGCCGGCCGACCTCCCCGAAGAAAAGCTGGTTCCCAGGGTCTTCCAGAAGCTCCTGGACAATAGGACAGAGTGACATGGGGCAAACACCAGGGGACAGGGGACTAAGGTGTCAGCAGGGCCTGCAGGGCACACTGGGCGGGGCCAGCCTGCTAGCCCCTCCTCCTGGCTGCACCCAGGAGGCCATACCCACCTGGAAGGCCTGCCGAATGCAGTGCAGCTTGGCCAGGAAGTCCTGGTCACTGTAGCAGCTGAGCAGCTCGGTCCTGGGGGACAGGTACACATTATTACAGCAGGCAGGCACTTACGTAGCTTTCAATCATGTTTGAGGAATGGACTTTTTCAGATGGGGGTCTTGCTAAGTTACCAGGTTGTTCTTGAACTTGTCTTCCTGCCTCAGCCTCCCGAAATATCAGAATTACAGGTGGCGATCAGTGGAAATTTTTTTCTTTGTAATGTATTTGGTAGCTGCAGGGTCTCACTGTGCAGCTCAGACTCATGGTGATCCTCCTGCTTTCAGCCTCCCCAACGCTGGGATTGTGTGTGTGTGTGTGTGTGTGTGTGTGTAACTGGGGATTGAACTCAGGCCCCTGCGCTTGCCAAGCAAGCGCTTATTCCACTGAGCCATCTCCCCAGCCCCTCCACACTGGGATTATAGGCGTGCACCACTACACCAGGACTCTGGCCAGCTCAGCCCACCTTGGGGCCGGGCTGGTGCAGCATGTGCTGGGGTAAGGAGTGATCAAATGGTGGCTCCTGAGCTTGCTTAAGCAGGTGCTTTAGTCCACTGAGCTATCTCGCCGGCCCCAGCAGTGGATTTTTAAAATATGCTTATAACTGCAAGCCATGATCAGAAAATTGAGTCATGTGTTTCACAATTTCAGGAAAGTTCATGCAGAAGGGCCAAGAGCTCCAAGGAAACAGAGAAGACGCCAAGGCCCACAGTTCGAGGTCAGGCACTACAAACTGGCAGAACCTGGAGATAGCTGGATCTGTCCTACTGTGGCCTGGGTTCCTGGCCTCGGCTGCAAAGGGCTGCATCAGGATGTGGCTGGGGACCATGGAGCACAGCTGGGCAATCCGCGGACTTGGGACAGGAGGAACCATTATGTGATTCTTCCTATTTGTCATCGTGATTTTTTTTTTCTCTCTTTGAGACAGGGTCTTACTCTACAGTTCAGGGAGGACTTGAGCTCCTTTGTAGTCCAGGCCAGCCTCAAACCTGCAGCAACCTTGCTGCCTCAGCCTCCCGAGTGCTGGGATTGCAGGTGCGTGCCACCACAACCAGGCCTGTCACTGAGATTGGATCCCCAGACCTGCCCTTCTTGCTCCTCAGTCCCCTGCCCCATCCCACCCTGTGTGCCCTCACCGCAGGGTCCGGCAGGCCACCTTGCCCTCCTTTGCCAGCTGCAGGGCCTCCTCGTAGGCAGCAGCAGGTCTGGACAGTGGCACCAGGTAATCTCCAGCCTGCAGGGACTCGAAGAGCTGGGGAAGGCGTACATAAGGCAGGAGGTGAGCAGTGTCCCTGGACAGGGCTGTCTGAGGGGTCACCTTGATCCTGCCCCCCTGCCAGGGCACTGAGTGGACATGGGCTGCCGTCCTCCTGTCCAGGCAGGTGACTAGTGTCAAGCCTGGGCCTGATATCACCCCGGAGCTGCAGCCCCTGGCCCCCCAGGGGTCCTCTGCCAAGCCAAGTCACTGGATCCCCAGGAAGCAGTGCGGGGCTCCTGCCACACTCTGCCCTCATTTCCCGCCAGCTGCCCCACGTAGTCACCCAAGTCACCTCAGCAGCTGAGAAGAAGGAGTCCTCAGAGGCCAGGCTGTCCTCATCATCAGCCCGCAGGCGCAGTGAGCCCTCGGTCAGGGGCAGCATGAGCGTCCTCTCTGGAAGAGCAGCACACGGGCTGAGCCCAGACCCGCCCGGCCCTGGCAGCTGGGTTCTGTGAGTGGGGCTCCCGGCCTCCGCTCCTCCCACAGCCCTACAGCCCTCAGCGCAGATACCAGTGCTGAGGACCAGGCTGTATGTAGGCCACACCACTGGACACTGCCTCCACCCCGTCCATCTCTGCCTGCTCCAGAGCAGAGGGGTTTGGGCCTCTGGGCCACGACACAGGAAAGGGGGGTAGGTGGATCAACAGAGGGCCCGGCCACCAACTATGCAGGAAGCCCCATCAGCAGGGGCCTTGGTAGGCTTCACCTCAGAAGAGCACACAGAAAGGTGTGGGGCCTCGGCTACCCCTCTAGGACTGACCACACTAGGAGGCACTCCTGGGGCTGGCACCTGGGTCCCTGCTTTAGAACGTGCTGCCACTGCCTCTGTGGGATGTGCTGTGACCCCCGGGGCCTGTCCTGAGCCACACCATGCTCCCATGTGCAGCCCACAGGAGTATATTTAGTTTAAGGCAACACAGGGCCCCAGGCCTGCGCCAAGGGCCTCCTCATGCCCCCGTCTGGCTTGCCCTACCCACAGCTCAGAGTCTCCATCGGTGCCATAAGACGCCAGGCAGCTCGAGCCCCAAGGCCCGGGGAGCTTCCTCATGCGGTGGGCTCACCCAGGTCGAGCAGCATGCTGTCGGCGGGGAAGGTGGACCCGAACTCCTCCTGCAGGTGGTAGGCGCGGTGCAACAGCAGCTCCAGCTTCTCCGCAAACTCCCGCCGCTGCGACTCTGGCTGTGGGGGAAAAGTGAGAGGGACAGCTCAGGCTGGGACTGTAGCAGAGACAAGTGGCACAGCCACAGCGGCATGGCCACAGGGAGCCAGGAGCGGCCAGTCCCCAACCAGATGCGCCAGGACCGCACGCACAGGATCACTGCCACTGCTGCCAAAAAGAAACGTAAACCTCTGAGCAGGCTCTCGTGTGGGTTGCAGAGTGAAATGGTCAGACTCTGGCTACAGAGGTGGCGTAGTACTAAGATTACTTTCAAGCATTTCCTGGCCTTTTTTTTTCAATACTGGGGATTGAACTCAGA